CCAGCATGGGCTTCCCACGGAGTCGCAGGCTCTCCAGGCACAGCCGCCTGCTCCGGTGCGGAGTCCTCCCTGGGCTGCAGGTGGGTCTCTCTTCCACTGTGACCTTCCATGGCTGCAGGGGCTCCTAAACAGATTAACAACAGCCCTCCAGAAGTCCAAGGCAGCAGTCCTGCTGCTCGCCCCCCCACTCCCTTATTTCTCTGAGAATTGAAAACCCTTATAATGTTGTGATCGCTACGCCCAAGATGGCCTCCAACTGTCACATCCCCTGCCAGTCCTTCTCTGTTCACCAGGCAGGTGAACAGGACCAACAGGTCTAGCAGAGCACCTGCCCTAGTTGGCTCACTCACCGACTGTGTCAGTTGTCTCCCACACACTCCAGGAACCTCCTGGACCGTTTCCTCTCTGCTGTGTTGTACTTCCAGCAGACATCTGGTCAGTTGAAGTCCCCCACGAGAATAGCTGCTGACCGTGAGGCTTGTCCCAGCTGCTTATGGAATATTTCATCTGCCTCTTCATCCTGGTTGGGTGGTCTGTAACAGACCCCCACCACGATAGCTGCCCTGTTGGCCTTCCCCTGATTCGTACCCATAAACACTCAGCCTTGTCATCGCCGCCGTTAAGCTCTGGACAGGCAGAACGCTCCCTAACACACAGGGCTACCCCACCGCCTCTCCTTCCTTGCCCATCCCTGCTGAAGGGTTTTTAGTCGCCCACGGCAGCACTCCAGATGTGCGAGTCATCCCACTGTGTTTCTGTCATGGCAACTCTATCACAGTTTTCCCCCTGCACAACGGTTTCCAGCTCCTCCTGTTCACTGCCCATGCTCTTTGTGTTGGTGTAGATGGACTTGAGTTGGGCTACTGATCCCGCCACTTCTTCTGGGGGGAGAAGCCCTGATTCCTATGTGACTGTTCTCAGGCACTTCCGTGGTGTCTAACACATCAATAGCCCTTGCGTCTGCGCTGCCACGTGGGTCTGCATCCCCTACCCCCACTGAGACAGCAGGCTGAGGGACCTGGCTAGCGCACCGTCCCTCAAACTTTGGCTTGCTGCCTCCAGGGCTTATCTCTATGGTTTTGTCCTGTTCCCCCTTCAAATGTGGTTTAACGCTCTTTCCGTGAGCTCAGCTAACTCCTGTGCAAAGATCCTTTTGCCTGCAAAGATCCTTTTTCCCCTTGGCGAGAGGTGTGCCTCGCCTGTCACCAGCAGGCCTGGTGGTGTGTAAACCAACCCACGATCAAAAAACCCAAAATCCTGCCGTGACATCAAGCTCAGCGCCAGGTATTGACCTGTTGGCTCCTCCTGCTTCTTCCCTCATCATTCCTTGCAACTGGAAGGATGGAGGAGAACATCACTTGTGTTCCTGACCCCTTAACCAACTGTCCCAAGGCCCTGAAGTCCCTCCTGATTGCCCTCAGACTTCTTGTTGCAACTTACCCCTGCCTGCCTGAAAAGTCAGTAATGGACAGCGGCCTGAGGGCTGGACCAGGGCAGGAAGCGTTCTCTTCCCGTCTAACCCACGCCCCTGGCAGGCAGCAGACTGCCTTAAGGGCGTCCAGTCTGCATATTGGGCCTTCTGTTCCCTTCTGTTCCCTTCTCTTCCCAGGGAGTGTCCTGTGACAATGACCCATGCTTTTTTCTCTACGGAAGCAGTTTTGAGGTAGGGCATAGGCCGACTTCCCGACTTCCATAGGCGACACTCAGAACTGGATGAACCATCGTCCTTGTTATTGTTCAGTTCCTCTTGCAAAGCCTCCTCCTGCCATGTAAGGGCAGCTGGGAAGGGGGGGCAGCCACAGAGGAGACGTGCCTGCTGTGCCGGGCAGGGACTCCATTGTCCCCTCCCTTCAGCCACCTCATTCAGGCAGGCGGAGAGAGGACAGGGAACCCTCCATATCATGTGTCCTGTCTGCCTGCGGGGCCTGTCCCAGGCAAGGCAGAGTATGGTTCCAGCAGTCTTTCTCCTTCTCTCCCTCTGCCTGTGACTCCCCAGCCTACTCCCCTCCTCCAGGAGCTGTGTCACTTGGCAGAGGAGCTCCTCTCCCAGGGCGCAGCTCCCACAGCCGAGCTCACTGCTGCTGTCCCGTTCCGACGTCAGAGCGGGGCACAGCCTGCAGCCGCACACCCAGCTGGCCACATCTTCCCACCTGGCAGCGCGGTCCTGGCAGCTCCCTTGGCTCCACCTGAGGTTCCCCCCGTTGGGGACCTCCCCCATACCCAACCCCAGCACGCTCTGCTGTGGATCCTGCCGGCACCGGAGCTGCTCACCTGGGCGATGGGTGCCCCAGTCAGGGAGGCAGAGGTGCCGGGGGAGCAATCCTGGGAGAAACTCAACAGTTGGACATCCGCGTTACCCCTCCTTGCTTCCCACACCCGGTACAACAGCTTTGGTGCTGGTGGGGCTGTGTGCGTGGGGCTCCTGGCAGGCGAGAAGGCAGCTCGAGGGGGCAGCCTGGCCCTGTGAGCTGCCAGGAGCCGGGGGTACACGCAGCCCGCCCGCACCTACACGCAGCCCGCCTGCACGGGCAGCTTAGAGGGCTCTGACAGAACACTGCTCTTCCTCCACGAAGAGCTCGTTGCGCTCATCTCAGAAGCACAGCCACACCAACCTGGGATTCCCTGCTGAGTGGAAGGAGAAAAACCTGGGCGTACGTACTGTTTCGAACAGATGGATGAAAGCTCGGATGGCTGCGGTATCTGTTGGGAAGAAGGCAGATTGGAAAGCCCTCGTGCTGCAGTCAGACACCGCCGGCCCCAGCAGCTCAGTCACATGAAGCCTGCGGAGCTGAGCTGCCCGGAGAGCCCCAGCAGCGCTCTTGAACCCAGCTGGCAAACCAAGCACAGAGAGCCTGTAACTCAGCTCCTTAACCACCCTGTGAAGCCTCGGGGACTCACAAGGGCCCTGGGACCTGCTCAGGCTCCCAAGCAATAAGCCCAGGGCCAGCGAGCACCCGGACATCCTTGCTGTGATGCAGTGCCAGTGCAGCAGGGCTCCAGGGATGCCTGCGAGCCCTCTGAGCCGGGCGGGACAGCAGCTGCTGGACTTCGCGGGTCGGTGTCACTCTCCTGGCCTGGAAGGACACTTGGTGCTAAGCCCTGCTGCCTGCCGTGTCACCCTGAGTAAAGAGCTACACCTTATTCCCCTCTCATCTAAAGCCACTCCTGAAACATCTCCAGTTCCTTCTGTCTCTCCCTGGCTTTCCTTCCCAGGATAAAACTGCTCTTACCTGGCATCTGCCTCGGCAAAGCAGCCCAGGGAACACCAGGGCTCCGTCTCTTACGCAACGGGAGAGCACGGCGGGAGATGCCTCTCCCTGGTTCCGGCCCAGCAGGCTTACAAAGCAGATTCAGCAGGTGCTGCTGGGACTGGGAATTGGAACCCATTTCAGGATTCAGCGAAACCTTAATCTACAGCCTAATCTCCGGGTACTGCATCTGTGCAAAAGACAAAAACAGACGAAAGGGAGGGTTTGTGGCAGCAAAGGCCATTGCAGAAAACCAGCTCCTCTTGGCGTGCGTCGGGGACCTTTGTCAAGGCCTCCAGGATGTGCGAGCGCCTGGTGCTGCACTGGCTGGAGGGGGGGTGTGCTGCTGCAGGCAAGGACCTCCTGCTCGTGGCAGGAGACGCGTACCCCTGGGTGCATCAAGCAGAGCGCTGTGCCCAAGGGGTCTGGCCCTGGGGCGCAGGCAGTTGGGTGTGGGTCCTGAGCACCCACCTCCTGTTTTGAAGCAGCGTTCCCAAGGGCACAGAGCAGACGCTGTGGACACCTGCTGAAATCCGAGGTGAATGCATGGCATCAGGGCTGAGCTCAGCCACACGGGCTGGGCCAGAAGCAGACACGAGAGCAGCAAAGCCAGCGCCGACGCAGGCCCCGAGGGTTTGCGCCTTCAA